CCCACCGCGCCTCTTCCCTTGATCCTCTTTCTATTGTCCAGTCTTCCTTTCTCCTTGCTATCATGACACCTCACAAATCTCAGACTGGTTTTCTGCTCACTTTCCAGGCTTTCCCAGCAGAGTCTGGTGCGTCTGCTTACAATCTGGAGCCCCTTCACTTGGATGAGCTGGAAGGCAACAGCCCAAAGAAATCACACAGCAGCTGCAGCACAATGTGACAGATGACAGTATCCTCAGGACCTCCATCTCCCCACTTTCCACACCACAGGATCAGAGATGACCCACCCATGACAGAACCGGAACAAATAAAGAAGTAGGGTGGGAAACATTCCTGGGGAAAAAAGCCAAGTGTGTACAGCTACTGAAGAGGAACCCAGGACTCAGCCCTTAGAGGCCAAGCCTAAAAGTAAAGCGAACCAAACATCAGCTGGAAAGATCTCCCCAGCCAGACATGGGGGTATTTGCCAGCAATCATACTTAGCATTTTAGAAATGGAACCTGGAGGATCAGGAGTTAGAAGTTGTCCCTGGACACATAATAAGTTCCAGAATAGCCCAGGCTACACGAGACTCTGTTCCAAATAGCAAAAAGTGTCCCCCGACAAGAAGGCTTGTCAATTCCTTTCCAGCACCACTTCCTTGCCAGGCATCAAAAGCATTGATCAAACACAGTCAGCAAGCTGCTCAGTGAGTAAAGGCGCTAAGTTAGATCCCTGGCACATGCACACATGTGTGCACACATACCCACACACATAATGATAACGGTGTGATGGAGGAAGGTCATTGGCTAATAAAGGAACTGCGTTGGCCCATTTTATTGGTTAGAGGATAGGTGGGAAGAGTAAACAGAACAGAACGCTGGGAGGAAGAGGAAGTGAGCTCAGTCGCAACAGCTCTGCTCTCAGGAGCAGATGCCTGAGAGAGACGCCATGCCCCGCTCCCGGGATGAAGCTCCGACCCAGGATGGACATAGGCTAGAATCTTCCTGGTAAGCGCACCTTGGGGTGCCATACACAGATGATTAGAAATGGGATAAATTAATATGTGAGAATTAGCCTAGAAGAGAATGGGCCAAGCAGTGTTTAAAAGAATACAGTGTCCGTGTAATTATTTTGTTTGTGTGTTGTTATTTCAGGCAAAAGCTAGCCGGGCAGGCGGCTGGGGTGTTGGGGACGCAGCCCCACCGCCGCCCTTATTACTTCAACGGTGCAAAGTTAGATCCCTGGCACATGCACACATGTGTGTGCACACATACACACGTGTGTCAGAAGAGGGTGTCTGATCCCTAAAAACTGGAGCTACAGATGGTTATGAACCACCATATCAGTACTAGGAACCAAACACAGGCCCTCTATGAGAGTGGCAAGCGCTCTAAACCACTTAGATGTCTCTCTATTCCACAAACCAAGTTAAAGGGGAAAACAGACAAAACAGGGCTCGAGAGGTTGTTCAGAGCACTTACTGCTTCTGCAGAGGACCTGGATTCAATTCCCAGCACCCACATGGCGACTCACACCCATCCATAACTCCAATTTTAGAGGATTTGATGCCCTCCTCTGGCCTTCAAGAGCACCAGGCACACATGTGGTATATACATTCAGGCAAAACATTCAAACATGGGCTGGAGAGATGGCTCAGTGGTTCAGAGCATTGCCTGCTCTTCCAAAGGTCCTGAGTTCAGTTCCTGGCAACCACATGGTGGCTCACAACCATCTGTAAAGAGGTCTGGTGCCCTCTTCTGGCCTGCAGACATGCACACAGACAGAACATTGTATACATAATAAATAAATAAATATTTTTTTTTGATTTTTCGAGACAGGGTTTCTCCGTAGCTTTTGGTTCCTGTCCTGGAACTAGCTCTTGTAGACCAGGCTGGCCTCGAACTCACAGAGATCCGCCTGCCTCTGCCTCCCAAGTGCTGGGATTAAAGGCATGCGCCACCACCGCCCGGCTAAATAAATATTTTTTTTAAAAAAGTTCAAACATATAAAATAAAATAAATATTTTCCAAAAAAATTAAAAAGGACAATGGAGCTAGGCATGGTGGCACAAACCTTTAACCCCAGCACTGGGAGGCAGAAGCAGGAGGATCTCTGTGAGCTTGAGACTAGCCTCCAGAGTAAGTTCCAGGGCAGTCAGGGCTATTACACAGAGAAATCCTGTCTCAAAAGGAAGAAGGATGGAGGGAGGGAGGGAGGAGGGAGGGAGGGAGGGAGGGAGGGAAGATGGACAATGAAAGGACTGGCAAGATGACTCTGCAGCTAAAAGTGACCTCTGTTCTTGCAGAGGACATGAATTCTGCTCCCAGCATGTCCATGATGGACAAAATTCCCACTTCAGGGGACCCAACAGCCTCTTCTGGCCTCTGTGGGTACCTTCACTCACATACATACACCTACATGCAAATACATTCATACACATAATTAAAAATAAAAATAAATCTTTTATTTTAAAGACTTCTCAATGTGCACACCTTCAATCCCAGCATCGGAGAGGTGGGGGCAGGAGGATTTCCGTAAGATCCAAGATAGCCAGGGCTACACAGAGAGAACCTCTCTCAAAGCTAAAAACAAATCAGAAAAAGATGTGATGGACAGCAAGGGTCTCATTACTATACACCTCCTAGATTTTCCTGACATGTGAGGCAGGGCACATCTGCTGTGGAACTGGAAGGCAGCTGGGCTTAGGATCTGAGAGAAAAGGACAAGACCCACAAAGCCCTTCCAGAACAGAACAGAGAAGCCAAATCCGGGAAGGAAGGTGCCAGTCCTCCCAGTGGGTTTCCTGCCTCCAAGCCCCTACACCGGCTCCCGAATGCCCCATGGGAACTAAGTCCCTGTTAGCCAGTTTCTCTACCTCTGCCCAGCATGAGGATCAGTGCAGCCAAAACAAATTAAAGGAAGATAACATCCCACACCTTCCACAGGAACAAAGTCTGCCCTCCTGGTTGGCACAACTTCTAGCCTACAGGAAGAAATCGCACCGGGAAGAAAGTGAGGTCAGGTGCAGAGACAGAAAGGGGAAAAAGCCAGACTTGCAAGCCCAGCTCCTTCCCACATAGAAAGATGCTGCCCTTGTTTGGCAGCCTGCACCTGTGTGCATGCTATACACGCTACTAAAGTTAAGCTGGCTCTTAGACTGTCAGGCATGAAAAGCCCTCTGGCACCAAACATAGGAGCAGCAGCACCCTCTCCAGGGCCTTAAATGCTGAGTTGAAAGATAGCTAAGCAGTTGATGGGGTCCTGGAGGAAAGTACAGTCCTGGGCAGGTGGATAAAAGCATGTGCCAGCATGGACCAATGAAGCTCCTTCATTCTAAAGAACAGCCTCTGGTTTGCCAGAAGTCTGAGCCCAGCCTAGGCGACACCGTGTGTACTAGGTCAGTTAGACTAGACAGGCATCTTGTCTCAAAGAAACAAGAACTGTCATAACTGGTTCTTATGGGGAGCTCCTGAGCAAAATCTGAAGTTGAGATAGAAAGCTCATAAAACCGGCAAGGCAGGCCACAGACAAAGGCCCAGAACCCTTCCCAGAAGCTCCCCTCCAAACACCTGTGTCCTGATGAAATTCTCATCAACAGCTTACACACACATGGAGAGAGAACTGAACCTGTGTTTGCAATAATTCCCCACTCTCCAGCTGTGGGTTTGCAGCAGTCAGCAGCACAGAAGAGCAAAAGAGGCTTCAGCTGAAATTCTTCGGGTGGAGAAACTACCTATACCTGCTGGTCTGTGGATTCAGGGTCCGAGTCACCTGACTGGTTCAGCAATCCAAGAGGATCCTGGGACTAGTTCTGAAAGACAGGGGCAGAGTGAGTGTTGGAGAACAGCAAGGACCTATGGGTAGAGAGGAGAGCCCATACTAGGAAGTCACCAAGAATAAAAGCAAGAGCAGATGACACCTCTGTGAACATTTCTGGAGAGTGAGAACTGTCTCGAGTCTCCCTCTCGTGGATGGACACAGTCCTGTGCTCAGGAAGTCTGCGCTGCCTGTGGCAGAGCGGGAACATGAAGAACAGCTCTGCTTTAGGACCCCCGGGGACTTGCTGGCAGAAGTCCCTGGGCGAGCTGTTTCTCAAGGCCTCGGTTTCCCTATTGGCAAAGCAGTAAAGATGAGTCAGGATTTCAAACCCTATTGATTTCCGGTGTTTTTCTGGGCCAGAATGCTGAGCTTCATAAATCCCTGCAGGTCCTGGTCAAGAGTGGCACAGGGCGGCCGATGTGGCTGATTGTGGAGTTCCTAGGAGAAGCAGAGCCTGCAAGTAGCCAGAACCATGCAGATCAGGCCCATGAGGGCTGCTCAGGATGAAGAATGACCAGATCAAGAGTCCTGAGTCCGCATCTCTTGCCCAGATCCTTTTTATTCTGTAGCGAAGTGCCTGGACCCTTGCCATCTGCTTCCACCCTCTGGTGGACCTCATCCCGCATCACTGGGGACACCTAAATCTCTACCTCCAGCCTGGTCTTCACAGGAAACTAAGACCCACGAGCCTCCTCTACCTGGATATTTAGCAAGCATCTCACACCTAATGTACCCAAAGCACGTCCCCTGAAGCCAGTTCCTCCGTATTCCAGGTAACAGTACAATCGGTGCTCTGGTCACCCACGTGACACAAACAAACCCTCTTAGTCTATCCTTGGCTTGCCTCCACTCTCCACCTGATCTCCACTGCCCCAGCCCAGCTGACTCTGCAGGATTCAGCCAGCCCTTCCCACCACCACTGCATCTGCCCTGCCCCTGAAGCACACTCTTGCACATCTTGCTTCTGCCCTTGTTTCCCACCGCATTCCCAGCATAGCAGCACTGAGCATCAAAGGAAATACACGTCACTCGCAGGTCCTGACTCTCCAGTGGCTCCCCATTTATCCGAGTGGAGTGGAAGATTTGCTGTGACTCGTTAGTCCCTGCACGATCGATCATGATTAGCTTCCTGTAACCGCTTTAGAAGCCACCATTCATTCCCTTCCCATTTTCCTGGCTCTAGTCATAAGGGACTGCTTACTGCTCCTCCATCGTGCAGGACATGCTCACTGGAGGGTTTTGCCCTTGCTGTTTCTCTGCAGGAAAGGTCTTCCCTAACTGCACCGGCCTACAGCATCTGGTAAACACCAGACTCCTTATTCCGGGGCCAGAACACAGATAATCAGGGAGGGAAAAGGAAGAGGAAACAGTGGAGTCAGGTTCCACACAAAACATGAAATGCCCTGTCTTGCTTTCTATCTTCCTGGAACACTGTCTTCAGAAGTTCAGGGAGTTTAGGGTGGGACTGCTTTGGTTCTTCAGCAAGAGGCCCCTTTCCATCCCATGGCAAACGGACTCACATCTCTCTTGCACCCTCAAGACTTCCGGACAGGAGCTGTCTGAAGACCTTGATCGGACAGACCAGTCCTTTCCGTGATGCAGAGACGAAGCTATTTTCCAATTATGCATTTGTTCCCCCTACCACCCACCTCTCCTTCTTCAGGTCTCTTACTCTGGTGCTAGGAGGCAGGCTTTAAGAGGAGAAGGGAAAGGACTCAGGGCAAAGGACAAGGAGGCTTCAGAGAGAAAAACTGAGGCAGAAAGGAACACAAGCTGTGAGGAGACGGTGACCCAGTGAGAGGCCGGGATAGCCTGGGCTAAAAGGGGTCCACGTCAGAGGTGAATGCAGCCAGCAGGCTCTGCCCAGAGGGCCAGGCTGACAGAGGACGCTAGAGGAAGGGACCAGCAGTGGCTCGGAAGAGGAGGAAGAGGAGCGGGAGGCGCGGGCGGGGTGGGCAGCAGGACCACACGCTGCCGGGCCGCGCGGGCGGGCGGAGCGGGCGGAGCGGGCGGAGGCGGCGGCGGGCTCAGCGGAGCGGGCGGGCGCCGGGAGCGGGCTCGTAAAAGCCGCGCCGCGCGGGGAAATTGCCGCCAGAATCGCTGAGCTCCACAAAACGCCGCCCGCGCGGCCCGCCGCCGCGCCCGCTCCAATCTCCAGCCTCATCGGCGCGCGGGCTGGTTATGCATTTAAATGTTATTTAATTGGATTGCGGAGGAGCTGGGGGCCAGAGTGCCCCCGCCTCCGCCCCGCACGTGCCACACGTCTGTTTCCCGAGTCACAGATTGCCGCGCACCCCCTCCTGCCCAATCCCCCCCACCACCACCACCACACGCTTCTCTCCCTCCTTTCAGAACCCAGCCAGAGGACACTCGGAAAGACACCGGTCTATGAAGATGGAAAAGTCAGAGGCTACACACACAAAAAAAAATCTGCCGACACACAAAGACACTGCGGCAGCAAAAACTGGGCTATACTCATAACCCTGAGTGTCCACCTGGAAGATTAAGAATAGCAGACACAAAAGGTCCCCTGGATCCCAGACGTACACAAATGCATGTCAACATACTTGAAGGGAACACACCACCTGACTTCTCCAGGAATAATGGCACTCACAAAGTGACACTGCCAAGCGTGGGCACAAGGAGATGCCAAAGCCACACTTGCCACACATCAGCCGCGCCTTTCTAGGATTGGAAAGCAAAGCCTTTTGTTCAGTGGTAGGTCCTTTTCCAAAACCACAGCAAGCAAGGCTTCAAGAGGCAACTGGTGAGGAAGTTCCTTAAACTGAACAAATAAACAAACGAGTCCAAATTACAAGTAGGGTAGACAGACACCAAGAGGGCCTTCCTGAGAAGACACCCCAAGGGGTGAGGCTGGGCATTTGTGGAAGGTGAGTTTCTCCCACCTCAATGCAGTAGGAGGCTAGATAAGGAGCCAACACCGCCACGCAGACAGAAGGACAGCGTGTCCTGCAGAGGCACGTCCTCCACACACTCCCAACCAAAGATGATCAGGGTCACACTACTTCAATTAATGAAAATGGAGACAGGAACCTGGCTTGGCCCACTCTGGGCTTTCCGCCATCCCCTCTGCAAGCAGGGCCCAGAGAATGACATCAGCCTAAGGATCTCTGCACTGGCTTTGGGGACAGATGAATGGGCAGAATGTGTGTATTCTATTGCAGTTGGCCTACTTGCATTGTGAGGGCCCAATCAAAGACGAGAAAGTGTCCCCACAGACATGATAATTCAACCTTGACTGCTAAGCACCAGTCCAGGCCAGGCTGCCACTGAGGCTTCTGAAAAAGAAAGCAGTTCAGCTGCCCCAAAGCAATTTATTTCTGCATCACCTGATGACCACAGCTGGGCAGTTTACCTATGTGTCTAACCTCAATGTCTCATGCTCCAGTTGAAGGTATTTACTTCTCTGGGGAATTGGCGGTGAGGGGAGCTGACATCCTAAATAGGAATATTAGAAGAATTGAGAGTTGGTTTGGGATAGGCCACAATCTCTAATCTCTATTTTTTTTGTTGTTGTTTTGTTTTGTTTTGTTTTGTTTTATTTTGTTTTCAAGACAGGGTTCTCCTGTGTAGCTTTGATGCCTGTCCTGGAACTCACTCTGTAGACCAGGCTGGCCCAGAACTCACAGGGATCCACCTGCCTCTGCCTTCTGAGTGCTGGAATTAAAGATGTGCGCCACCACTGCCCGGCTCTAATCTCTAGTCTTTTTTTCCCATTCTACCACTAGCTCTTGACCTCCGCTATGGCCAGGCTGCATCTCTAGTCTTGCTTTTATAAAGCATGTTGGGGGGTAGTAGTGGAGAGAGATCATGCCGAGTGTCTTCTCTTCAACAGTAGTGGAGAGAGATCACACTGAAATCACACCGAGTGTCTTCTCTTCAACAGACCTGCAGCCGGCCTGTCCAGATACCTTTGCTCTAGGACCGTAACGACCCCGACAGTGTCCTGCAGCTTTCCACCCCAGAAGTTACTTGATCAAGGCCTGCTTATATAGAAAGCAAACTCGACTCCCCATCTTACATAGTGATACACTGACCTTTGGCTCCTGCCTGATTCCTCGGAGTCTCTCCCCTCAACCCATGGCAGTTGGGGCTGACAGTATCTGACCTGTCCCACCAGTACGCGTCCATCTTAGGGATGTCCAGAATGCCGTGTGAACACCCTGTTCATAACATGCTTTCAGCTTGATCTCCCCTATAAAGCGTATGCTTGCATTCCTAGCACTGGACACGGCGCACAGCGAGCAGCCACTCAGGTGAGAAGAGTACGAGAGCACACACAGTGTCTCCTTTGAGCCGCTCTGTTTGGGAAAGGGAGGGAGGGAGGCAAGAGAATTCTTTCCCAGACAACTCTACCCCTCAACCTCAGAAGCATCACCATCCCAACCAAGCACAGCTTTGCTTTTTATGGGGTGCATGCTGGCACGCATGCATGCATCTGTGCACGTGTGTGCACGTGTGTGTGTGTGTGTGTGTGTTAGAGTAAGAACTTCTAAGCCCCCATCACTTCTCTAAATCAGAACCTAAACACTGTCACAGGACAAAAGCAATGGCAATAGATAAACTCATGGTCATGGGTGGATATATGGATCCTCCCGAACCAGGCTCGTGCTCACTAGCGTGTTCCTCATACAGAGGAGAGGGATATGAGCTCTGCTCTCCTCCTGGCCCTCAGGGCCCTGGCAGGACCTCGGAGAACTAACCTGGCTTGTGGAAGGGAAGCACACAGAGCAGGAGGCTCCTGGAGTCTCTCAAATCACAATCTCTTCAAGTAAAGCAGAGGGGCTTGAGTTTTTCTGAACCTCCATGGTCAATTCTAATTCACAGCAGGGTTGCCAGTCACTGACTGCATCAGAGCTACCCAAGAGGACTTCTGCAGTAATGCAGTTCTTTATCTGTGCCATCCTGTTAGCGGCACCAGCCATGTGTGGATGAGCACCTGAAGTATGGCTAGTGAACTGAACTGAAGGAAATGTTACTTAATTCTTAGTCATCTAAAACGGCTTCACATACAGGGCAGGAGACGTAGCTCATCTGGTAAGTTTCCTGCCCAGCAAGCACAAACCCTAGGTTCGATTTCCAGCTCTATATAACACCAGGTGTGGAAGTGCACGCCTGCTATCCCAGCACTCAAAGGGTAGACTCTCATCAACATAGCAACGTCAAGTCAAGCCTGGGCCATGGGAGATGTATTAATCAATTAATAAACTGCACAAGGTTACTGATTGTTATATCAGACCACAAAATTCTAGATGACCCTAAATTCCACATATTGTTTTTATTTTATAGATTCATTTATTTTATGTGTTTGAACGCTTATATGTTCATGTATATATGTCTGGTGCCCACAGGTCAGAAGAGCTTTGAATCCCCTGGAACTGGAGTTATAAGCAATTGTAGGCTGCCATGTGGGTACCGGAATAGAAACCAGGTCTTCTGCAAAAACAAATGCTCTTAGGCACCGAGCCATGTCTCCAGCCCCCATTGGTTTTTAAAAATTTAAGGCCAGGCATGGGATTCCAGTGCTAGGCAAGCAGAAGCAGGTGAATCTGAGTTCAAGGCCAACCTGGTCTACAAAGTGAGTTCCAGGACAGCCAAGGCTACACAAAGAAACCCAATCTCAAAAAAAAAAAAAAAAAAAAAAAAAAAAAAAAAAAAAAACCACTGTGTGTGTCTGATGGATGTGTATATATTTAGTGTGTGTCTGTCAGCAGACAACTTTGTGGAGTTGATTTTCTCCTTACACTTCTACGTGAGCTCTAGGGATCTGATCCAGATTGCCAGGATTGTATGAAAAGTGTCTTTACCCAGTGAACCATTTGGACAACCTCCTAATTTGATTATAGACTTCACTCCTCATAACAGGCTTTATATGTTTGTGTTTCTGTATGTGTGTACATGAACATTCCTATATGTACGCTCATGCCTATAGTGGCCAGAGACTGACAACAAGTATCTTCCTCAGTTGCCCTCTCCATTTTGGCACAAGCGTGTGTATGTGTGTGGTGTTGGGTATGAGTGTTCATGTGCATATGTGAATGTATATAGTAAATGTATGTGTGTACACCTGTGTAGACCTGTGAGAGCATATGTGTGTGCACCTGTGTAGACCTGTGAGAGCATGTGTATGTACACCTCTGTAGACCTGTGAGAGCATGTGTACACACCTGTGTAGACCTGTGAGAGCATGTGTGTGCACACCTGTGTAGACCTGTGAGAGCATGTGTGTGCACACCTGTGTAGACTTGTGAGAGCGTGTGTGTGTGTGCATACCTGTGTAGACCTGTGAGAGCATGTGTGTGTGCACCTGTGTAGACCTGTGAGAGCGTGTGTGTGTGCACCTGTGCAGACCTGTGAGAGCATGTGTGTGTGCACACCTGTGTAGACCTGTGAGAGCATGTAAGTGTGCACACCTGTGTAGACCTGTGAGAGCATGTGTGTGTGCACACCTGTGTAGACCTGTGAGAGCATGTGTGTGTGCACACCTGTGTAGACCTGTGAGAGCATGTGTGTGTACACCTCTGTAGACCTGTGAGAGCATGTGTGTGTGCACACCTGTGTAGACCTGTGAGAGCATGTGTGTGTGCACACCTGTGTAGACCTGTGAGAGCATGTGTGTGCACACCTGTGTAGACCTGTGAGAGCATGTGTGTGTGCACACCTGTGTAGACCTGTGAGAGCATTGTGTGTGCACACCTGTGTAGACCTGTGAGAGCATGTGTGTGTGCACACCTGTGTAGACCTGTGAGAGCATGTATGTGTGCACACCTGTGTAGACCTGTGAGAGCATGTGTGCACACCTGTGCAGACCTGTGAGAGCATGTGTGTGTGCACACCTGTGTAGACCTGTGAGAGCATGTGTGTGTGCACACCTGTGTAGACCTGTGAGAGCATGTGTGTGTGCACACCTGTGTAGACCTGTGAGAGCGTGTGTGCACACCTGTGTAGACCTGTGAGAGCATTGTGTGTGCACACCTGTGTAGACCTGTGAGAGCATGTGTGTGTGCACACCTGTGTAGACCTGTGAGAGCATGTGTGCACACCTGTGTAGACCTGTGAGAGCGTGTGTGTGTGTGCATACCTGTGTAGACCTGTTTCTACCTCTATCACTGTCTCTCAGTGAAAACAGCTTGCTATTCAGCTGGACTAACTGCCCAGCAAGCCCCAGTGATCTCTCCACACAGCCATGAGACTCCTTCCCCTAAGGATACTCTTATCTGCACTAGGAAACCTTCTATTTAATTGATAAGTCAGTCCAGTGGAACTAAGTCTGAACAGCCAGGTAAGCACCCAGACCAGGTTCCAAGCAAGGGGAGGAGGGCTCTCCTGAGTGCACTTTCTTACTTGTAGTTAACCTTGGTGAGAGATAAAATGACTTTGCTGCTATGAACTGAATTATGCCCCACAAATCCATATGCTAAAGCCCTAATATTTGGAGATAAATCCTTTAAATAAATGAAGAAGCATTAAAGAAAGGTTAAATGAAGTCCTGGGGGTAAAGCAATAATCCAATGATGGCTCTCCTTCCAGGAAGAGGGCAACGGAGCCACACATGGCAGAAAGGCTATGGAAGGATACATCAGCTGCCTCATGAAGAAAGGCCTCAGTGGAGCCTGAGCTGTTAACACCGTGACCACAACGATGAGAAAATAAACCTTTGTTTAAGCCATCCAGACTGTGTTGCTTTGGTTATGGCAACCTCAGCAGGCTTGGGACCCTACCCTAACACTGACAAGTCAGAGCATGTAGTGACCCTGCGTAGGAGACCTTTCAGGCACCATACTAGTCTTTCCCCGCCAAGCATGCCAGGCCAGGCTTCCCCTAGGCCTGCATATCCTCACTACATCTTAATCCCTTCATCTCTCATACCTCCCTACTGGTGTAGGAGGTTCTTCTGTTCATGTGTTGCTTTTATTGGTTAGTGAACAAAGAAACTGCTTTGGGCCTGATAGGGCAGAACTTAGGTAGGCAGAGAAGACAGAACTGAATGCTGGGAAGAAGGGCAGAGTGAGAGAGGCCATGTATCCTCTGACTGAGACAGACGCTAGTTAGAATCTTGCCAGTAAGCCACAGTCACATGGTGTTACACAGATTAATAGAAATGGGTTAAATTAAGATGTAAGAATTAGCCAATAAGAAACTAAAACTAATGGGCCAAACAGTGTTTTAATGAATACAGTTTTGTGTGTGGTGATTTTGGGGGCTAAGCTAGCCCGGCGGCAGGGCTGAACAAGTGGGCCCTCTCTCCCTGCAACATCCCTACAACAGCATCGCCTTCACTTCCTTTGCTAAAGTTTGGATCTTCAACGTTCCCCAGAAACCATGCCTCTTAGACTTGGCCACCAGCCTACTGTCCCACAGGGAGGTGGCAGAGCCTAAAGAGGTGGAGCCCAATGGGAGGAAGCACTGGCCATGTCCTTAGAGGGGATACTGGGACTCCAGTGCCTACCTCTTGGTTTACCAGCTGCCATTAGGCAAGGATTCTTCTGCCACACACCAAACATGAATAAACTGTGCAAGTATCTATGGGTTGGGAGTTCTCAAATGTGAGCAAAATGTTTGACTGACTGGGCTTCTTCATACGTGGGCTTCTATCAGGTGTTTCTGCACGTGTGTTCCGTGCATCTGACTGTCCTCACTTTTTCTCTCACCTGACCACCCCTTCCTTAATCCCCTGAAGAGCTCTGACTCTTCCAGTCTTCAAGACCACCAGAGCGTCTCCTCCCCACCTCAGCCAAACACACAAGCGTGCAGTGGCTTCCCCTCTGCAGCTTTCACGATGCAATCGTCCACCCGTAGAAGGAGCTAGAGAGACAGGAGACCACTCATGTGATGATGAGATGCCGCGAGGTAGCTCTGACGATGATCTGGAGTCTGCAGAGTCGCCAGCTTAGGGAGGTCCCCCCAACGTGACTGCTGTCCACACTTCTGCCAACTATCTATAGACACAAGTCTTCCCGGAAACCCTTCAGCTTTAGTAAATTGCAAAACAAAACTTAAGAAATAAAAACACTGTATTTATTATATTTTATCACAAATACAAATCAAGGGCTAGGGATATAGCTCAGTGATAGAGCAGTGAGCACTGTACATCCAAAAAACTCTGGGTTCAGTCCCCTGAATTCCCAAAAGACACACAGAAAGCATGACTAAATACACAAACCAGCACCAACTACCCAAAAAGAAACAGACATATGTGTGTCCACCAACCAGCAAGCTTGGCAGAAACCAGTGTACAAAGTTCTGGTCAGGGATAATTGGTAGAGATCATGGGCCACTCAGCTGAACTCAATCTCTAGCCTTGTCCCACCCTGACATTCAGGCTGAGATCACCCTTCAAAGTTCCAACCATCAAAACATAAAGCTGGTCTTTCTAGGGGGCTGGTCTCTATCCCACAGCAAAGTTCAACAAACCCTCCTGTGCTCTGAGGTTCCGACATGAATAATACTGACATTTCTATTGGTTTTTTTAAAAATTTTATTTTATTATTATTTATGTATACAGTGTTCTGCCTGCATTATGCCTGCAGGCCAGAAGAGGGCACCAGATCTCATTACAGATGGTTGTGAGCTACCATGTGGTTGCTGGGAATTGAACTCAGGACCTCTGGAAGAACCTCTGAGCTATCTCTCCCGCCCCCTGACATTTCTATTGTTGAGGAAACCTCAAAGTTCCCTCTCAGGAACCGAGACAGCTGATTAAAATCTTACTAATTTTTAGAATGCTGGAGATGACTTGAGTCCCAGGAAATAAGGAGCACATGCCCCTCATTAAGGTGGTCCCACGTTCCCACTGTAGCTTACTCCCTAGCCCTTACCACACATCACCCAACCAACCACTTAAGAGACAAAGGAGACATCAGCCTCCCCATCAACCCCAACAGTGCCACAAGTACCTGATGAACTACTGGACAGGCCCCCTATCAAACCCCCTGCAGGTTGGCTAGGTTGGCTAGAAGTCTCACATACCCCTCCCCAAGCTACCTGAGAAGTTTCTGCCAAAAGTGAATAGAGGAGGAGGGAGGGAATGTCCTAAAACCAACATTCTCCCACCAATGAAGCGCAGAGGGGAAAGAGAACCAACGTGAGAAGGCTTAGGGGTCTTTAATGCTTAATCTGAAAGTCACAGGTTGAAATTTTCCTAACATTGGCTTCCCCAGTAAGGAAAGGTCTTCAGGGCGGACAGGGAATACCCTCAATAGTGCAATGGTACCCCAGCTCAGAGAGAGGCAAGCGAGAAGTGTGTGATGGGCACCACAGTGTTCCCTCAGTCCTCACACCTCACATCAGGGGCAGGAGGCAGAAACCCCATTTTACAGAGAATCTTGAGACTTAGAAAAGTTGTTCATAAGCAGGTCAGGCAGGGTGGCATATGCCTATAATCCCAGCATTAGGCAGAAGATCACCACAAGTTTGCTGCCAGGTCGGTCTTTAGAGAAAGTGCCAGGACAGCCACTACTACACAGTGAGACCGTGTCTCAAAATTCAGAAGGGAACAGGATATGGTGGCCCATCCTTTTAAACCCAGCACTCAGGGCAGAGGTGGAAGATTTCTTATGCGGTCAAGGCTGGATCTTGTCTATACAATGAGTTACAGGCCAACACAATGAGACCTTGCTTCAAATTTTAAAAACAAACAACAATAACAAAAACAAAACAGGAGTTTTAATTTTTTAAGACAGTAGTAGCTCTGTGTAGCTCTGGCTGTCCTGAAACTCACTGTGTAGACCAGGCTGGCCTTGAACTCAGAGATCCGCCTGCCTCTGCCTTCCAAGTGCTGGGTTTAAAGGTATGTGCCACCACTGCCCAACTGAGAGAGGTTAAAAAAAAAAAATTCACAGGCTTCACAGGGAAAGGGGAATGAAGATCTAGATCTTTCCTAGTCTGCCACATATAAGTGTCCCTCGGATCCAACCTCGGTCTCCCTGAAGAAATTCACTTTTTATTATTTGTTTGTTTCTGAGACAGAGCCTAACCTGACCCTCCTGTCTCTGAGTGCTGGGATTACAAGGGTATGCCAGGACACCTGGCTCAGAAGCTCATTCTCAATGTGATGTCTGTCCTGGTCCCTGGGAGGAGAGGAGAGAAGCCGGCTAGAGGCAAGTGTTCTGTAAGGATGAGTAGGGATCAAAGATTGCCCTCTGGTTGGGGAGGGGGAGCTGTGGAGAGGACAGACTCAATCGATCACACTTAATGCATGTGTGGAAACGTCACACTGAACCCCACTAATATGTACAATTAGTGTCAAAAAGTCTGAGGTAGATCAGTATGAGCTTTCCTAGTGTGTATGAGGCAGTGCCAAAGACAATGCCAATAAAAACAAAACAGGAAAGATTAAAATTATCTTTCCTCCCAAAGTTCAAATATGACCCCAGACATCCCTATCAAGGACCCTCTGCACACAGAGGTCCCCACGGAAATGGTGAGGCCAGCGAGTGCCGAGGCCCCTCCCCCTCTGTGGACACTGAACAGAACAAGCCACTGGTGAGGCTCAAAGCATTAGACAAAAGCCCAGAGTGCTGAACACGTTTCCTCCAACAGGGAGCCCGGCAAAGCCTGCATGCAAGGTGATCTCTAAGGTGTGCTAGGCCTGGCTGAACTCGTTAGCAGAGGTAGGAGCCCCAACTCTTGGAGTCTTTCCCTGGCTGCCGCCTCCCAGCCCTTGTTGGCCTGTGGGCTTCGCGGAGAGGGATGCAGGAGCCCCTCCACCTGTACCTCTGGAGCCAGTCCAGCTAGAGCTCTTCGCGCCCGCTGTTCTGCCAAACGCCCCACTCCCACTACCAGCCGCACCCCTAGCCGCTGCACCTGCCTGCGCAGGGCTGCTTCGCAGATCGCCAGTAGCTGCTCCCGCTGCTTGGCCGGCAGATCAGCGGGGGTGAGGTTTCGTCCACTGGGAGCCAAGAAGAGCAGAGGACACAGATTGTGGACAAAGCAATGCCGGAAGAAGACTTGGGGCTGTCCACAGAGGGCCCGGAAAAGGCCCCAGAATCGGGCTCCGCTCACCTCTGACTGTGTGCACTCCAGTCCCAACACTGGTCGCTTAGGGTGCTCTTGGGGAGGGGTCAGCACAGAGCCCCCAATGCCCAACCAGTCCCGGACCACATTCACTTCCCCAAAAGGTACCTGTGGGGTAAGGAGAGAGAGACACAAGGTGATTCCAGCTGGAGATGGTCAGGCTGTCATGATGATCTCACCCACCTTCACCATCAAGTCTGTGAGGGACTCCCAGCCCTGTGGTTTGCCCCCGTCCATGTTTCCTCCAGTTTTTCCCACTGTGAACTGTGACCAGCAAAACCCATGTGCCTCTACTTTCTCCTGGCACTAGGATCACATACAGGCAGAACACTGGGACATTTGCCCGATAGGAGGCATGATTCGAATACTGGTGACAGACAGATCTCCTGAAACAGAAAGCTGGCCAGGGTGAAAGGAGACAAGCCAGGCTGAGCACTGATCTCTGGGTGCCCTCCCAGCCCAGGCCCCAGGCTGTCATTCCCATCGATCATCATTGATCACCTTTCATCACTTGGCTGGGGTCAATAAAAGCGATTGAGCCTTCTGCCCTGGGGCTTCTTTACCTCCTCCACCTGTAATGCAGCCTACTGAAACAGACACTCACCCAGATCCCTAAGGAAAAGCAGGCTGGCCTGCGCCTGACGCTATTAGGAACTTTTCGGAGACCCAGGGGCTGCCACCAGGATGGCCAACAGTTCCTATCCCCCCATCCTGCCCACAGTCAGTGTTCTGGGAGGATCCAGCAGCCCTAGCCTCTCTCCTGACTCCAACCACTCTAGGGACAAGGGAGATCCGGCAAGGTAAGGTACAGGGCAGGATGGCGGAAGGGAAAGTTCTCAGAGGCAATTAGTGGAGTGCTCACAGGGGAAATGGGACTGCCATTAATGTGCTTGGTTAACTATGAACAGAGAAGCAAGGGGAGTGCTTGAGACCACAGGAGACGATATATGCTCTGCAGGAGAGGGAGTGGGTGGCCCACCCACCTCCCAGCCAATTCTAGGTTCTTCCTCTACAACAGGCCCAGGCAAACCTCCACCTCTGAACCGCCCACCAGAGGAAGCCAGGCCTTTACCCCAGTCTGGGCCATGCCAAACGGCCCTGGGTTCATGCCCAGGAAGAGCACTTCCTTGGGACCTTGGCAGTAGCGGGTCACGTAGTTGCGGTGCGGCTCCCAAGCATAATCCACTGGGTTATAAATGACACCCACGGGCTCTGGAAACTGCAGCTGGTGAAGCTCGGCATTGAGCTGAAGCTCCTCCTCCAAGAAGCCCTCAGCCAAGCTTGGAGCGCAAGGCAGAGGCTCCATCAAAGCACCTGCAGGTTCATGGGTAGGCCCAGGCAGGAAAGTCGGGGACACAGCCATGCCACTGTTACCTGGAAAAGAAATGGACAGAGTTTCCTTCAGGCTCACCCCAGTATCTGTACTAGCTACCGGTTCTCACTGTTGTTTCCTGGCTCAGAAGAGATCCTCGGAAGCTCTGTCAGTTACTACAAGCTCACTCAGGTTCCTGGGAATGAAGGGACCTCTCCTCCCACTTCCAGAGTCCTCCTTTTTCTGATACTTCAAGCATCCTACATTAGCTACTTGTCTCACTGCAAAAAAGTAGCTGCAATAGCCACTGAAGGAAGGGAGGGTTCATCTCAGCTCTCAGAAAGTACAGTCCGTCATGGCTGAAGGAACATAAAGTGATTGATCACACTGCAGTCATAGTCAAAACTCAGAAAGTGATGAATGCCTATATCCAACTAGATCTCTCCCTCTCCCTCTCCCTCTCCCCCCTCTCAATGCACTGACCAGGCTGGCCTTGAACTCGAGTTCCTCCTGATTCTACCTGTGACTAAAGGTGTCTATTACCACACCTGCTAGAACTCTCCTTTTTATGCTGTGCTGGTTTGTTTTTATGTCAGCTTGATACAAGTTAAAGTCATGCTGAAGATGGATCCTCAGTTTGAGAAAATGCCCCGCCAGACCGACCTGTGGGCAAGCCTGTGCTGCATTTTCTTGATTGATGACTGATGTGGGAGGGCACAGCTCACTACAGGCAGTGCCACCTCGGGGCTGTTGATCCCAAGAGCTATAAGAAAGCAGACTGAGCCAGGTAGTGGTGACGTGTGCTTTTAATCCCAGCACTCCAGGAGGCAGAGGTAGGTGGATGTGAGTTCAAGGCCAGCCTGGTCTACAAGAGCTAGCTCTGGAACAGGTTCCAAAACTACAGCGAAACCCTGTTTCGAAAAACAAAGGAGAAAGAGAGAGAGAGAGAGAGAGAGAGAGAGAGAGAGAGAGCGCAAGCGCGCACAGATGAATGGGCTGGAGAGATGGCTCAGCGCTTAAGAGCACTGACTGCTCTTCTAGAGACCCAAGTTCAATTCCCAGCACTCACATGGGAGCTCACGACTGGCTGAAACTCCAGGATCTAACACCCTCACACATGCAGGAAAATCACCAATGTACACAAAAGAAAAATAAGTAAATAAAAAAAATTCATCTTAAAAAAAAAGAAATCCTGAACATGTATCTATGGTATGGTGTACATATAAAAGAAAGAAAGAGGGCTGGAGAGATGGCTCAGAGGTTAAGAGCACTGACTGCTCTTCCAGAGGTCCTGAGTTCAATTCCCAGCAACCACATGATGGCTCACAGACATCTATGAGATCTGGTGCCCTCTTCTGGCTTGCAGGCATACATGGAAAGAATGTTGTACACATAATAAATAAATAAATCTTTTTTTTTTTTTTTTGGTTTTTCAAGACAGGGTTTCGCTGTAGCTTCGGTGCCTATCCCGGAACTAGCTCCTTGTAGACCAGGCTGGCCTCGAACTCCCAGAGATCTGCCTGCCTCTGCCTCCCGAGTGCTGGGATTAAAGGTGTGCACCACCACCGGGCCTAAATAAATAAATCTTAAAAAAAAAAAATAAGGAAGGAAGCAAGCAAGCAAGCAGACTGGGCAAGCCATAGGAACAACCCAGTAAGGATGACCCCTCCATGATTCCTGCTTCAGTTCCTGCCACTAGGTTCCTACACTGAGTTCCTGTCCTGACCTTTGATAATGTGAAACACCAAGTTAAAACAAACCCTTTCCTCCCCTACTTGCTTTTGGTAATGGTGTTTTATCCCAGCAACAGAAAGGGAAGGACAGCCCACAGCCCCATGGAATGGTACCACACTCTAAGCTTAGGTCCTCTCACCTCAGTTAACCTAGTTAGAAACCCCTTCAGACTGCCCAGAGATTCATCTTCAATGCGACCCCGACCCTGTCAAGTTGGTAATGCCATAATAGCACCCCATCCCAAACCTTTCATCAGATGAGGCCTGAGCCACCAGCTCTCGGGCCATGCGGAACACACAGCACGTTTCTTTCTCCATTTCTCCTTTCTGACTCTCTCCCGAGGGTTAAACCTGAGTTCTCGCTGTGCTAGGCAAGCGCTTTACAACTAATCTACAGTCCTAAACCCTTTTTCATTTAGATGGTGAGTGATACATCTCACTAAGTTACTCAAGCTGTAGTCTAGGTTGGCCCTGAACTTGTGATCCTGTTGCCTCAGCCTCTGGAATAAGAATAAGGAACTCAGCCCACAAAAAACAGGCACAGGTACTTAATAGATTTCTTCTCTCTTTTTGGGGGATTAGGTACATTTCTTTTCTTTAAAAAAAATTTTTTTTTGTTCCAAGTGTGGTGTTAATGCCTACAATCCTAGCACATCTCTGTGAGTTTGAGGCCAGCCTTGTCTACATAGCTAGTGCTAAAGGGGGGGAGAGAGAGAGAGAAGGAGGGAGGGAGGGAGAAAGAGAGAGAGAGAGAGAGAGAGAGAGAGAGAGAGAGAGAGAGAGCGCCAACCACATGTCTTTAATCCCAACATTCAGGAGGCAGAGACAAGCGGATCTCTGAGTCTGAGGTCAGCCTGGTCTACAGAGCGAGTTCCAGGACAGTCAAAGCTACACAGAGAAACTGTCTCAGGAAAAAAAATCAACCACCAGCCCCCAGAGAAGAAAAAAATTTATCTTCGTGTGTGTGTGTGTGTGTGTGTGTGTGTGTGTGTGAGAGAGAGAGAGAGAGAGAGAGAGAGAGAGAGAGAGAATGCATGCCACATATGTGTGGTGGTCAAGGAAGCCAGAGCGGCACTGGATCTCCTGGAGCTGGGGTTACAGGAAGCTGTGCGCTTAGGTGGGTACTGGGCACTAGACTGGTTCTCTGCAAAAGCAGTATGTGCTCTTAACCACAAGGTCAAATCTCTGGCCTTTTCCTTATTATTTATTGAGATAGGGTCACACGTAACCCAGATTAGTCTCAAACTTGCTATGTAGCTGATAAAGGTCATAAATTCCTGATCCTCCTGCCTCCACTTCTTTTTTGTTTGTTTGTTTGCTTGTTTGGGGCTTTAGTCTTATTTTTTAGAGACAGGGTTTCTCTGTGTAGCCCTGGTTGTCCTGGAACTCACTCTGTAGATCAGGTTGGCCTCAAAATCACAGAGATCCGCCTGCCTCTGCCTCCTGAGTGCTGGGATTAAAGACATGCACCACCACTGCCTGGTTCTGGCAAACATATAAAACTCTATTTTTATGCATGTGTTTAGGATACATGAGTAGTAACACATCTATGGAAGACAATTCACAGACGCCTGTTGTCACTGTCCACCATGTGGATCCCAGGGACTGAACTCAGAGGCTTGGTGACAGGCACCTTTACCTCCTGAGCCATTTTGCTGGCTCACCTCCATTTCTTAGGCGCTGGGATTAAAGCCTGAACCAGGCCCAGCTACACTGTCAGGACACATCTCCTGGCATCCTTTCTCTCCAATGACATCTATAACGAGCCAGTACGTCCAGGATGAGCATGTCCTGGAAATGTTGCACTGACGAATGAGATGCAGGTGCATGGTCACAGCCCAGAGACTTGGGAGGGCTAATTACAGCAGCTTCCAGGTGGTAAGCAATTGCTCTCCACCAGGTACGCCCCATTGATCTTCATAACAACCCCATGAGGTGGGTAATATTGCTCCCACGTTGCAAGCCAGGAGACTGAGGCTTAACAAGATCCAGCAGGTTGCCGAGGGTCACAGTTACCAGGTAATGAAGTTGGGATTTGAACCCACACTATCTGACGCAAAGCCACACTCTTAACCACCCACACCATCTTGCCTTAGACGGTTTGATCAGCCACCCCACTAATTCTACAAGTCCCTAACCCCAGCCCAGCTTCTTTCCCACACTCAAGAATCCTCAGAGGTGAACAGGACGATTATCAGACTCTGAACAGACTCTTCGAAGCTATGCAGCCACGGTCAGAACCTCCGGTTTTCACATCCGAATGTTAAGGATAATAATACCCACTTCATAAAGTTGTATTTGAATGGGAAAAGGGAAAGAAATGCAGCAGCCTTCTAAACTACAACCCTGTCCTCACTTCTACGTACAACCAGTGCTTGTACCTGGCCATTTCACTCACTTTCAAAATGCTTCTCCCACCCCAACCCAAAACTGCACAGGTCATTTTCAGAAACCCAACCAATTATGACTGAGTTAGCCAGGACATCAGCCAGCAGTCAAGAAGGTGACCCACATCCAGTTCAAACTCATCCTTCAAGATGTAGCTCAAACCATCTCCTTCAGTGCACAGAGACATTCTCAGAGCGCGGCCCCACCCTACAAGCTAGGATTATAAAATGATGAAGGTTTGGTCCCCAGCCAATGGCACTATTGAGACAGCTGAGTAAACGAGGAAGCTAATCTAATGGAGGAAGCAGGACCTGGGGGGGTTGTCTCCGGAGGGTCTGTCCTGTCTCTCTCCCTCCCTCCTGCCCCCCCTGCTTCCTGGCTGACATAAAATGAGCAGATTTGCCCTACACTCACCTTTCCCCCATGATGCCCACCTCAGCACAGACCTGGAGCCATGAGAGAGAGGTCAAACAGCCAGAGAATGGAGCCTCTGCATTGTGAGCCAAAATCTACCTTTTCTCTCTGGTGCTGTTCTTCCCAGGTATCTATCACAGCAATGAACTGCCTGGCATACCACACACAGGAAGTTGGCTGTGAAGCCAAGATATATGTATCTTGAACAAAGTAATTCACGATGCCCTGGTGAAGGTTGAGAGTCATTGGCCTCCCCAGCCAGAGGAAGGGAGACCAGGAGCCTGGCTCTATTCAATTCCTTGCCACACCTAAAAGGTCCTGGATCTCAGGTATTCAGTAGCCCCTGCCAGGCTCTACCCACTTCCACTTTGTTGATCTTGTTTAAAGCTACCTTCCAACAATGCATTTTTGCTTCTCCCATGTTAGAGTGGAACCCTGGGGCCAAGCAAGCACTTTACCACTGAGCTGCCCCGATCCCCAGTGAGCTGTTCCCGATGGGCTCCTCTCACCACCCCACAAACCCAGTGTGGGAGAACGAGCCCGGCCTATGAACAGGGTAGGCAGGTACTCGATCCCTAAGCTGCACCTTGAGCCGTCTCTCTTCTTCATTTTTTGTTTGTTTTATCAAGACAGGGTCTCTCTGTGTTAACTATCCTGGCTGTTCTGAAACTTGCTCTCTAGACCAGGTTGTCCTTGAACTCACAGAGACCCACCTGCCCCTGCTTCCTGAGTGCTGGATTAAAGGTGTGCACCACCACCCGGCTGTACTTTAATTTTACGTTATAAGTTTTGGGAAACGGCTTGGCTGTCTTGAAACTCAAGATGGAGACTAGACTAACCTCACACTGTGACAGTCTTCCTGCCTCCAGCTCCTAAGTGCTGGGAACCTGCGTGTGTTACCATCAACCAGGCCTGAAGTCTGGAACTGAGTTGTGCAGACAGGCATCCAGGACATTCTGGAAAGCTGAAAATGGTGACGTGAACTGTGCTTTCGGGGACCTTGCTTTGCACTTCCCTATGTAGAACCAGTACTAGAAAAAGCAGCACTCAGGTGCTGAAGACAGCACGGATGAGCACACAGAGTGACAAGACCTCATTCTCCCTGTTCAGTTTTCAAAGCCCCGTCCTATCACAGCCTAAGTCAGCTAACTTGAGTTCTAGCCCTGGCTGTTCTTTCCCTTAACTTTATTTATTTGTTTATTTATTTATTATTTATTGGGCAGAGCAGGCATCCACAGCACACGTGTGGTCAGAGACAACTTTGGAAAGCTGGTTTACTTCTACAGTCAAGGGTCTGAGGCTCGACCTCGGGTCATCAGGTGTGACGGCAAGTGCCCTACCAGCTGAGCCATCTCAGAAGGTTCTCTTGTACAAGTCATTTAGGCTCTTCATATTCCATCTCCTTCCACCAGCTGTTAACCTGTTTGTCTTTTAGATATGTATGAGTTCCTACGTGTCAGTCTCTTGCTGGAAGAAGAAATCCAAATTGAATAAAAAGTAAGACAGGCTGTGGGTAAACCATGAACTAAAAAGATGGACAAGCAAGCTGACACACAGTATAACCTGAGCTTTCCTATCCCAGACAAAACACTCCCGGAGCGCTAACAGGAAGCCTAGCAGTCCTACCCAAAGTCACCATCCGCTCAATGGGCTGATGCTGCAAGTCAGTGGAGGCTCACCTAGCATACACGAAGTCAGTGGAGGGCTCACCTAGCATACACGAAGTCAGTGGAGGCTCACCTAGCATACACGAAGCCTTGGGTTCAATCCCCCAGCATAAGCAAGGTTTGAAGCTACATCCCTATAGGTCCAGCACTCAGGAAGTAGAGACAGAAAGATCAGATCGGGAGTATCCTCCTGTAGCAAGGGTTTGGACAGTTTGAACTACATGGAATTTTTTTCTCAAAAAGTCAAAACCCAGATGCTCAAGACATGTCAGCCATTTCAAATTACATTTAAAAGCAGCTGGCGACCCTGAGATATATGTGGTCAAGGATAAACTTCATACTCATATCCGGTTTATCTGATATTAACTCCAAGAAGTTTAATAGAATCCAAGCCACAGTGGGCTAGAGAGATGGCTCAGCCGTTAAGAACACTGGTAGCTCTTCCAAAGGTCTTGAGTTCAATTCCCAGCACCCACAAAGCGGCTCCCAACAGTCTAACCGAGTCCTATAGGATCCAATGCCCTCTTCCATGTGTAGATGCACATGCAAACAGAACAACACACAAATGTGTAAGTTATATAAATAAATAGACCTAAAATAAAAACAAGAACCCAAGCCACTAGTTAGCCCCTGCTCCTTATAGGCTCTCCAGGAATCCACGGGATTTAAACCAAAATTAACAGCGCAGCCGGGCTCATAGGGGTCCCCTTAGACCTCGGCGCCGTAGCTAAACCACCCCTCCCGAGCCCGCGAGCCCCTCCGCCCTACGCTGAGATCCAGCCCCCTAGTTCCTCACCTGCGGCAGCTCCCCATGCAGCTTCCGCTTCCTTTCTTCGTCCCGGCGCAAAGGACACTGGAAGTCGTAGTCAACAGCATTTAAATTAGAAGAATGGCTAGCAGCGTCCGCTTCCGCCGGAAATGCCCAAGTCACCGGAAAACTCGATGAGTTCCACAGGTCGCTGGGGATTGTAGTTTAATAGTACGATTTAAATCCAAGATGTCTTGGAAGTTAAAGGTCACTTCATTCACAACAATCTGGACTCTCTAGCCGTGCCTAATCCCTCACCCACCAGAGACCCTTTCCAGCGCCTCCTACTGCCCCAAGTTATGATACCTCACCTCCGCAGCCTTCCATGGGTCATTACTGTGTGTATAACATCCAAGAAGGCATTTCTCTCACATCCCCATTACCATTAGTGTCCAAACCCACAACTTCATCATTTTGACCTGGCTCCCTTAACAGCTGCCAGCCTGTATCCTGGATTGGAGTTCTCCATAGAAGCAGCACCAAAAGCATTCTTCTGTCTCTGTGAGGAGAAGCATTGTGGAAATTTGCTTGCAGGCATATGGAACCTGCAGTCTGTACGCTGGAGAGCCAGGAAAGCCCTCGTAGTTCAGGCTGAGCCTGACTTGGTTCTACAGAGAAACTTCTGACAGAAGCCTCAGAGAATGGAAAGATCAGCAAACCAAGGTCCTCAGACCAGTTTCCATGATGGTGGAAAGATGGATGCCCAGTTTTCAAAGAGGCAGAATTGGAAGCTAGTATGGCTGGTGTGGTGGCTCATACCTGTAATCCAACCACTTGAGTTGAAAGACCCTACAGACCCCCTCCTCAAAACCCGCAGCTAGCATGCTCCCGGGGGAACATCCTGTTTGCTTTCGTAAGAACATCCCATGTGCTTGAGAGAGCAGGATGTCTATGAAATAGGAAGACTGCAAGGCAGGATATCGATAAGACAGGACATCAACAAAGCAGGTTGACTGCAAAACAGGATATCTATAAGATAGGAACAGGATGACTGTTGCCAGACATCCATGCTGAGAGAGGAAACCATTCATGCCCCCGCCCCCCACCCCCGCCTCATTCCGATAACCACGCTTTTGCTTCTGTAAACTTGCTTTTTGCTCTTCCCTATAAAAAGCCCGCCCTCCAGTTGGCAGCCGCGCAAGTCTTCCGAGAGATCTTGCCGCCTGCAGGTACCTACTCAATAAACCTCTTGTGATTTGCATCTGTGCAGTCTCGGCCTGTTCCTTGGCGTTGGGGAGGTCTCCTCCCGACAAAAGGTCCTCGTCGAGGGTCTTTCAGAGTGACTGAAACAGAAAGACATGTGTTGAAAGCCAGTGAGACCCTTCTATGTGCTTCCAAAGAGTGCCCACCCAAGGCGACTCCTGCTGACTCAGCCCACGTGGCCAGCCCAGAGACATGGGGCCACCAGGGCATCCCAGTGGGCAGTCCCAGCGAGCTCCTGATCCTACCACTGATCCATCCCCAAGGGTGACCCACTGCACCTGAGCGTCTTCCTACTGCCTCACCCTTGGCCGTTTCCATATGAGGGAGGCAGAAGTGTCAGAAGTTCAAAGTTATCCTCTGCTAAATATCTGAGGCTAGCCTGAGCTAAGTGAAATCTTGCCCAAAAAGGAAGGGAAAGGGGTTGGTGGAAGGACGGACGGAACCAATTACAGCCCCCACCCTCCTCAGGAAGCCCTCTCCCCAACACTGTTTGTCTTGTCAGCTCTTCCAGTTGGGTTTTGTCCCTGTTTCAGAGAACCGTGTTGTTTTGAAACAGGGTCTCATCTTTGCTGTCTTGGAATTCACTGTGTAGACCACGCTGGCCTGGTTTGTAGACCTCATCTGCCTGACTCTGTTCTGGACCACCACCCCCACCCCACGCCCCAGTCCATTTGTGGGTCTTTACAGTCCCTCAGAACCCCAAATTGGCCTCAGGCAAAACAACAATGACAAAAGTGAGTAGCTGGAAAACAGAGATCCTATAAAATGTCCAAAATGTCCCCACCTGCCTGCTGTGATGGCTCTTGCCTTTAATGCCAGCATCACTCTGAGTTCCAGGCCAGCCCAGAGTGTAGCACAGTTAATAAGAACCAGAGATAGATATTGGGGTTCAACCTGAAGGTCAGAAAAACAAAACATTCAGTCACTAGCTCTTACCTATACCTCAGTCGGAAATGGCGATCCTGCCTCCAGGAATCTTACAATGAGACTGTGTCTGAGAGCTGTCTCCTCCTGATTCATATTCCTCTCTAGTGCTGGGATTAAAGGAGTGCACCACTACCACCCGGTTTCTATGTCAAACTAGTGCGGCTACTGGGATTAAAGGTGTGTGTCACCACTGCCTGGTCTGTAAGGCTGATCAGTGCAGCTGTTTTACTCTCTTTGAATTTCAGGCAAGCTTTATTTATTAAAATACAAATGAAATGTAATTACACCAAAGTACATAGTAAGACCTTTTCTCAAAAACAAAGACAAAAATAAAAATAAAAAAGACAGTCACCACCTAATGTCAACTTCCATAGAACTGAGTAACTCCTCTGTCCCTGTGAGTCCATGGACTCCTGGAAGCTCTGAGTCCCTAGGGAAAGAGAAACAGAGGTGCAGATGAACTGCTAAGGCTGACCCTCTCCGCCTCACCCAGTCACTCCCTCCCCATCTGCAGAGACAGGCTGATCTTCAGCTTCCAGCCTGAGTTCCCTCTCTTTTCCATCTCCCTCTCCAAGAGGCAGCTTCTGCCTCTCCCCACTTCTCCCCTTCTGCCTCTCCCCACTTCTCCTCTTCTGCCTCTCCCTTCTGTCTCTCTCTCCTCTTCTCCACTTTTCCCTCCCCCCCCCCATAACCCACTTAATAAATATCCAGCCTCACTCTGCATGGTGTGCCTGTCCATGTCTCTGTCTCTTGCCCGCCACCACGTGTCTCCCTGCCCTGAACCAGTTACCGCTTGGGGACCTGCAGCTTTTCTGCTGCCTGTCACCGTGGGGGATCCGCAGCATTTTTTTATTCTACCATTACACCCCCACACACACATCCCCTCCCACACACCTTCTCTCTTTCAGAAACTGTGGGCTCAGATCTCTGCTAAAGACATTAGAAAGAGATCCAGAGGAGAAAGACAAGCATAGCCCTTCCCTAGGTACCTTGCCCTCCAGAAGCCTTCAAGGGACAGGCTGACAGTGCCTGATGGCCTTGTGAGGTAGGGACGACCGCAGATCCTGACTGTGGCCAAGGAAGAACCAGCAGGTGCGTGCTGGGCTGTGGAGCGGCCTCTGAGGCCCACCTGGGTTAGGAAGGGTTAACTAGCTTTCTTGTTTCCTTTGGGTTTCAGCAGGCCGCAGGGGTTGTGTTGGGCTACGAGCTCCATCTATCGGCCGCTGGGTGAGCTAGCTTTGCCTCCCTAAGACCTTCAGGCCGGGCAGAAAATCCCCTGTAGAGGGCCTTCGGCAGCACAGAACTAAGATGGCCTATCTGATCAATGCAGGCCTCGTTTTTTTGGCCTCACTGGGTACCAGGTGTCACCTGGCCACTTCCCTAGGGAACTCTAAAGGACTTTCTGGCGCTTGTGTCCACGCTCTGACACCTTCTCTCCCAGTCAGGTCACATATGAATGAGCATTAATATGAAAGCCAATAGTCCGGAGCCAGGGTTAGATCTGTGGTGATGCTCTCCGCTTACTAACAGGACTTTGGCAGGTTTCTTGGTTATCCTCTCCGTGCCTTGGTTATCCCAACTGTAAAATGGGACATTCCTTGACATCTATCTCTTTTGTGATAAATTAACTGGCAAGGTGTTGTAAGGCCTGGCCCAGAGGGGCACCATGAAGGTTAGTCATTGTTGCTATGGCAACAGGCAGGCTTTCAGGCAGATGCTGGGCTTGAGCACACAACCTCCTGGCCAGACACAAAGGCATAATCCTAACCAGCTCATCCCTGGAGAGTTTGCCAGAGATCACAGCCTGCACGCTTCCGTTCATGACTGGGAGTCCGGGGCTGCAAAGTACCTCCCTCTGCAAAGGTCTGGAGGAGACTGGATGAAAGATCAGAGTAGGGAAGGGCTTTGCGGTAATGATGAAGAAAGGAGGGCTGGGTATAACTCAGGGGTGAACGGCAGATTCGCACAAAGTCCTGGATTTCATTCCAGTGCACACAAAAGGGGGGGGGATAAGGAAGAATTAACAGGTACATGAGATGCTTTTTTTTCAGGGTATGATTTCATGCACCTATAATGTCAGCATCCAGGAGACTGAGGCAGGAGGATCACACATATGGCACCAACTGGGCTATAGAGCCAGACCCTGTCTTAAAAAAAAAAAAAAAGTGTAGTTCGTAGTGGCTCAGCAAGGTAAAGATACCTGCCACCAAAGCTGATGATCTAATGTCCTAAATTCAGTTCCCAGGATCCACATGGTGGAAGGAGAGGGTTGACTTCCACAGCTGTCTTTTGAGTTCTACCTGCGTGATGGCACATGAGCACACGTTCATAAATAAATGTCAAACAAACACCAACCCTCAAGATGTCCTGCTTTAGGGAAGAGAAGGGCAGGCCTATTGTGTACATGGAAGGGGACCTGGGAAGGGGATCTGAGGGTGGGGACGAGAGAAGAGGGTCAGGGCCCCTGCACCCCAGCAGCCTGTCCTGGGCTCAGAAGCCTCAAGGTGGATTAACCTTTGAAGGCGTCTGCAGCAGGACACTCCAGTTCTGCAGGGGTTTAACCATCTCTAGCTTGCCTAGTGGGGAGGAGACTATGTAGAGGAAGCTACTTGCAGGCCCCCAGGCCCTATTCCCACCTACTCACCTCCCAGAACCGGGGAAGCAGGGAGATGAGTTCATACCCAGCCATTCCCTTGCCTCTGTTCTCCATGCCTGCCTTCCTCTACCCTGCAGGGAAATGGGTATGTACATTTCCCCAAGGGGTGGGGAGGTTGAAACGTGGGCCTCCATCTGCTAAGGCCTTACTCTGACCCTCAAACCCAAGACCACAGAGGTCAACATTTTGTGTTGAAACCCACATAACTGGAGGCAGGTGGCAGCTCGGGTGTTCCCTGCTCCCGGCTCTGGATGCCCGGGAACACAGGACTCCAGCGCATTGCTTGCTTGGGAAGCAATTATCAGAGAGCCTTCAGCTTACCGAGGCTGTCTTCTCACTAATCGGGTTTCATCATAGCCCCGGGCTGGGAGGATGGGGTGCTGAGTAATTTGACTTGCTGCGGTGGTGGGAGACATCAGGGCTAGGAAGGTGGGTAATCTGTCTGATCTGTCTGAGTGGTGTTAGAGTTGTCCAGAGCAGTTACCCTGAGGAGACCACACAGGCATCAGACAGACAGTGTTTGGGGTGGGGGGACTGACCCCCAGGTCTCGGAGTGAGAAAAATGGATGTTAGATTTCGACTTTGCAGACTGAGAATGTCTCTTGCACTTGCTGAGCTGAGCAGCTGGGAAGAGGAAGATCAACCAGGACTAAGGCCACAAAGCCCGCATAAAGGTGAGACCCAACCTGCCACCTGGGCTTTATCCTACCAACCCCGCCCCGCTCCCCGCCCCCACCTCTGCCCAGCCCCTGAGTCAGCAACCACGAAGTAAGACTTGAGTCCTCCCGCGAGGCTTGAAGGCCACACTTGCCACACTTCACCTGCCTTATTCTGCAGCCTCCCTGAGCCGGTTTCCCCTTTCTGCCCAGTCGGCCCAGTCCCATTTGGTGCCCTCCAACTCCCACACCTCACCTCTGTATTCCGCAGTGTTAAAGCCAGTAACAGCGGTTAATCACTGCCGATTCTGTCCCACGCCTGATACCACGGAAATGCTGGAGCCGTACTCATCCTCAGTGCCACACCACTCTTGTCCCTGGCCTGGAATTTGTCCCATGTCCCAAATCCTAATTCTCCCCTATTGGAAGGGGTCACTGTCTTTACTTGTATGAGGCCGGTGACACTTGAAACTCACAGTTCAGTGTGTCTGTTGGTGGTTTAGGGCTCATGGCGCTGCCAACCTGTGTGTTTCTGAACACTGGCACTTGCTTCTCTCAGGGTGCAGCTCGGCATTTTGCCGAGTATATGCTCAGTGAATCTGCAAGGGCTGGGACAGTGCCCAGAGGGGAGCCCTGGCTAGCAAGTTCCAAGTCCTGGGTTCTACCTGCAGCGTGGTCGTGGTGGCACATACCTGCAATCCAGCACTTGAGAGGTAGAGACAGGACAGGCAGGCATTCAAGGTCCTCCTCAGCTATCTACTGAGTTGTTATTTAGGAGACAAAAAACTAAAGCGCTGGAGGGAGCCCTGTCTACCACCTTTACCCTGTGGCTTCCCAGCAGTCAGGGGAGGAGGTGATGTCAGAATTCTGGGCACACACTCCTTCACCTGTCCGGGAGTACTTCAGGCCCGAATCCCAGGCCACATGAACCTCTCGGCGGCTTCTCCCACCACCCAATTCCTCCTGTCCCCTCAGGTCACATCTCTTGGG